CTTTAAACTAGATTTCACAAAATAATTGAAAGTCAAAATAAAAACGAAACTTTTCCCTCCAAAAGGTCCAGAGCGAATCTCCTGTCACTTTGAGATTGCGAACAGTGTGACCATTTGTGGCAGATTTCTGCCATTTGGGCAGATTTAATTTTTATTCATTTCCATTGCGACAGAACATGTTAACGTCGTATTAAATGTGACAGAGTTTGGCAGATTTACAAATATTCAGCAAGTTCTTTAAATTATTTTTAGGAACAAACTGAAAACTTGTTGTTATCTACTATTACGAACAAACATCTGAAACGAAATACAGGACAATGTTAAAAACATAACCTATATCAAGTTTATAACCCCCAGCTCCTATAGGCTGTACTCAATTAGCTTTTTTGATGCTTTGACATAACAAGTAAGTCAAAAACACTGGAGTCACAAAATACACGGGAATGTCGTCATCCTTCTTTAAAGCTCTGTATGGCACTGCAACTGTTATGGATAGGCGCTTACCACCAGGCGCACGATTTGTTTGTCCGGTGACTTGGTATTATAAAAAAAATTGAATTGAGCAACGCTTAAAATGCTAAGCACGCTTATTTCGTTTAAACCTCTAAGCATGTTTGCATGTCGTTGATCAGCGCAAGACATTTTGTTGCACAACTGTGTGGTTAGTACAGTTCGCGCCCTCGGTGTAATAAATCTATATCTGCAAAATGAGAACTTTTCAGCAGAGAGATTTAAAGAAAGTCGATAACTTTTTAACCGAGTTCAAAAAAAAGATGGAGGTTCTCAATTCGTCTGATTTTTTTTTAATGTAGTGAACCGTTTTCAATGATTCTTTTTTGTTGGAAAGAGAGTACCTCAGCATTGGTCCTGTTTAAATTGAAAGAAAATATTCCACCTTTAACTCTTGGTTGGCAAACTAGGGGACGAATCCGGTATGCGCACTTTCCGGTAACCGATTTCAATAAAACTTGGCAAATAGATGTGATTCCACGAAATATTATGTTTAAATACGAGAATTACATAATTTCACTTATACTATGTTTCCTGCAATTTATATTATATTCGTCATGTGATAAAAGAGATTTTGACGTATTATCGCATGTGGCGTTGAACATTGATTATACGTGGGGCGCATTATAAATGGTCAGAAATTAATTTATTGTTTCTCAAAATATTCTCCGTTAGCGTTAATGCACTTTTTCATCTCTGAAACATATTTTTCATACTCTTCGACAGCGTCTTCAGGTAATGAAAATCGTTGACCGTGTAACTGGTTCTTAATTCATGGAAGTAAATAAAAGTTACAAGCTGCCAGGTCGGGACTGTACGCAGGATGGATCATAAGGTCAACGTTGTTCACCTTCAAAAATTCATTTGTCTGTCTGGCCGTGTGAGAACTGGCATTATCGTGGTGCTGGATGATACGGCGTTTACGGAGTTTGTCAATAACTTTCGGCAAACAAATGGTCGTGTACCAATCACTATTCACGGTACAACGATTCTCCAAAGGAACAGTAGCCACGTGTCCAGTTTTATTAAAAAAAGAAGCAATCATCCGCTTAGAGGCACTTTGCACGCGCGCCACTTTGGTTGGTTTCGGCTCATCTCGAAAGACCTATACGCTCGATTGCTGCTTTGTTTTGGGATCGTAACTATAAATCCATGTTTCGACACCTATTACTATGTCCCACATCAAATTTGACGCCCCTTCGTTGAATATGTCAAGCATGGCATTGCACCAAGTGACGCGATCCGTTTTTTGAGCCACAGTCAAATTGTGTGGGATCCACCGAGAGCACAGCTTTTTCACACCCAAATGTTTGTGTAGATTGATTGTATTTGACTCGTTCCTATGCCTAAAGATACCCGAATCTTATGGTATGTCACATGCTTATCTGTTTTGATCATACGGCACACAGCATCGATGTTTTTGTTGTTCATAGCAGTGGACCATCGCCCGACCATCACGAAATTCGTCACTGAGATTCACACGACCGCGTTCGAATTCTGCAAACCAGCTATAAATAGTCGCCTTGCATGGTGCTTCATCGCCGAAAGCAGTTTGAAGCCGAGCAAAGCTCCGCTGTGCTGTTAAATTACACTTAAAGTCGTAGAAAATCGTACTACGAACATTTTCACGAGTTAAATCTATGGTATTGTAGACAACCAATTTCTAAAATGACTCCACAATGTAAAAACAAGTGACAGTCAGATGAAACAAACTGTATTCTACAGCCAAAGAGTTCCATTTTCAAATGTTGTAATTACTTTTTAAATATTGTTTATGTAAGTGGCCAGTTCCGGAAACTTAGTGCGCCCTATGTAATTTTTTTTTGTATTCTAGCCCCTTTAAAGCGCGAGGTGGCTCGAATTATGTGTCCAGGAGTATATATGCATATATAAAATTTTAGGTTGGTTAATTGAAATATTTCAAGAATAATCTTGAAAATTTTATGATTACTTTTCGCTTATTTTCAATGTTATCAAACTTTAATGGTTTATATATATTATTTAAGGGTCTTATCATTAATTTTCAGATCCCACCGTCAGACTGGCACTTCAAAGGCGGGTTGACCCCGAATATGCCACTAGGGGCTGTGCGCGACGACTCCTGGGTCACGGTCAACAGTTCCTACGTGTTTCATGATGTCATTTGCGAAAGACCTATCCATCTCAGGCCTATTAGTATGATTGTTTCTACTACATCGTAAGTATGTGCCTGTACCAGGCCATTATTCTAAGATAGGACAGAATTCTTTTCGTTTTTGTGAAGATTAGCCCCATTTACACAGTCACCCTATTGCGCTTGATCAGGAGCGTACAAGTTTTCGCGTAGGAAAGTCTGCGCGCATAATGTTGCGCGATTACCTATTTGAATTTTTTTAAGCTAACGTTCTTTCGCTCTTGACCACTACTTAGCTCTGGAGCAAAGATAGGATCTACGTTGGAACGAGCTCACCTAGAAGATGCTTATTCAGTCGCCTTAAAGATACCCAGGTTGTATGAGTTCGGAAACATAGTCGCAGACAGGGAGTTCCATTCTTGAATATCGAGCAAGTAAGGAATCATCCTTACTTGGTCGATATTCTCGCCGTAGGTCTGGATGGCATAAGGGGGCGGGCGGGAAGAGCTGATGAAGTTCATGGGCACACTCACCGAAATATATTCTATAAAAAATCGACAGACGGGCAACTTTACGCCGGTGGGCTAAGTTATGAAGTTTAGATACGACCTTATCGTCGCCAATAAGTCTCCTGGTTCTGCGCTCAATGCAGTACTCCATGCAAGATCGGACTTGTGCTTTTTATAAAGTTCAGAGCTGTCCAAGCGTGAAATATCGCTTAACCTTATTAAGGATACCCAGTTTTTTTGCTGCAGTTTGGGCCTTATAGTCAATATTAGCGCGAAAGTTAAGGGTGGCGCTCAATGTTATGCCAAGGAGATCCAGGCTATCGGTAAGAGATACAGATATACCCCGAAAAGTGGGAGTCAGATCAAATTGACTCCTTTTAGCAGAAAATAGACAGGTCTGCGTTTTGGTGACGTTGAATTCGACCAGATTGTCATCTTCCCACTAAGAGACGGGACTTAAGGTCAAGTTAGTCCACTCCACCATGGTCTCTCTCAACGAACGGATAACTACCTTGCTGTCTTTTGCGCTGGACAGACATCTCTCCGTAACAGTGCTGTCATCTGCATACTTAACAATACCTGGGACTAGCAGGTCATTGATGTGTAGCAGGAACAGAGCCGCAGAGAGAACCGACCCCTGAGGAATTGCGGCATCGATAGCCATCAAGTCAGATGAGCAGCCTTCAATGACTACTCTGATTGACCGTTCATCAAGGAAATCTGACATCCAGCTACAAAAGTCAGCAGGGATGCCGTAAGTGGGAAACTTGTTCTGCGGACTTGCGTGCCAAACCCTGTCAAAGGCCTTCGAGATATCTAGTCACACAGCTAGAGCCTCGCCGTGTTTCTCGATGGCTTCGCATCAGCAGTACGTAACATACACGAGAAGATCCCCAGCTGATCATCCCCGGCGAAAACCATATTGACAATCACTGAGTAGGTCTTTTGTTTCAAGGTATGATAGCAGACCAGACAGGACCAGAATTTCGGAGAATGGAATAAAGTACTCCATTCTCTCCCGGATTACATCCGCAACCGCATCAGTAGAGCAAGAGGGGTCACGAGAGGAAAAACAGGCTTGCCAAAGATAAGACGCAAAGTGCCACATCTCATCCCAGTCTGCTGACTAGTATCACCATAACCTCCTTGTGCCCCTTGCATTGTCAACTGGGGGTGAGTATGTCGGCACGGTTTTGACGATATAGGGATCGGACGTTCCCAGCGGAGCCGAGATCGATACCGAGTGTCTGAGTGGATCTGTTGTCAGCAGCAGGTCCAAGCAATTGGCCGTATGTCCGGCTACAACCGGTACCCGTGTTGCGTTATTTACCAGTTGGGTGAGATTTAACGATATCGCAAACTTGCGCGCCTCTCTCCCATAGGGGTCCAATTTCGCAAAGGCGAACAGCCATTCGATGTGGTAAGCATTAAAGTCCTCGAGAAAAATAAGCTCCGCCGAGGAGCACGGTTGTTGGGCTTTATCTGCCATCTCGGTCAGATGTGCAAAGAGCCTGGTTGTCATCTGATCACCGTTGTGCGATCTGTATTTATATGCATAGAGACTCTTCTCCGTTCCCGTATCCACCAAAATCCATATAGTGGAAAACCCGTTACTCTCAAAGCAACGGAGATACCTCACCAACAGCTCGCTGCAAAAATTTGTATTCAAGCGAGTAGCCTAGGGTAGTTGAGGTAAGCCACGGCGAACGGTGTTGCTATCTGAGTCTCCGTTAAGAAGAAAAGGTACGGCTTCTCGATCTCCGGTGGTAGTGAATCGAGTTAAAGTTCGAGTGCAAGCCTCGGATGTTAGTGAAGTGCACTTTCAGCGGAAGGAAGTGCCGCCGTTGTTTATCCTTGTTCTTCTTTATAACTTTCATGTGGGTTGGTGGTGTTGATGGGGAAAAATTGGATAGTTCAGACGCCACTCAGTTGACCAATAGGAATTCTCAAGTTAGCGAACCTTTGGGGGACTTATTTGGAGACTGCGGGGACGCCCGAGCCACCCGAAAAATGGCCACCGGGTCCTCCCATCCAGTCGCCAACTGGCACGGTGGAGCATTTCGGGATTTTTCGCGAGGTGGCGGGGCAGCCTTTTGCACGTGTCTGGTGCGTTACTTGCGCCTCCTACTGCCGGCGGTCGGCCAACGGCAAGACCGTACCTATACCGTACGGATCCCGCTATCCTCCAGAATGAGTTACCCGGTAAAACCAGCTGAGTAATTTGACACCTGTTTATCCTGTTCCGATGACCTCTGTACATTTTCAAAGTTGAATAGATGTTTAGCTATATGTAAAAGTAATTTAAATTTTTATTGAATTAATATTCAATTATTTTTTTGTAAAATTACTCCACTAGTTTGTTATAATTATTAATACAAAGATCAGGGCTATTAGCTGTAAAGGTACTAACTGAGTGATAAATCTTCCATAGATAATTAATAGATTCAGGTGTTACTTTGCGGAAGTCCATGTTAATAAAAATGGAAGTCAATTTAATTTGCTACTCCGCGAACCCAGTGAAGGTTAAATCGTGCAAAATAGCTGCACTTGTGTTGAATATTTATTTATGCAGTTAATAATCCCACCCTCCCTCCGCATAAAATTAATAAAATAAATAACACAAGCGCAACTATAGTCACAAAAATATACCCGTCACGTGTTTCGCCTCTCCAAGAGGCATCCTCAGGGGTTGTTGTCTGCTCGACACTCGACGCCGAGCGCAACTATAGTTGCGCTTGTGTTATTTATTTTATTAATTTTATGCGGAGGGAGGGTTGATATAATTAACTGCATAAACAAATATTCAACACAAGCGCAGCTATTTTGCACGATTTAACCTTTACTGGGTTCGCGGAGTAGCTAATTAATTAACTTCCATTTTTCTTCCATAGATTACTCATAGATGGCGCTACGACTAAAAATTCGTTGAAAAACCAAATACAAAGATACGACGCAAACACATAGAAAAATTCATGAGGTCCGCTGGTTCGTTCCGTGGCTTAGTTGGTATAGCGTCTGGCACGGTATGCTAGAAGACGTCGGTTCGAATCCGGCCGGATCGAAGGAATTTTTTCTGAGTGTTCTATCTTTGTGTTAATAATTATATATGAAAGTGTTATCATAAAAAATGCTTTGTCGTGTCAATTTGGTTTTTTTTTCAGGGAGGGGAAACTAGAACTCAAAACAAATGAAACAGTAAATAAAAACAAAATCCACTGTTTTACAGACGCTGTAGTGGATTTTTCTTATGAAATCAATGTGGTATATGGCCAGCATGCCAAAGTATACGTCTTACAACCCGAACATGATGGTTACTACTGGTGTGTCCATACTGACTCCTTAAATTATAAGGTATCCGAGTCTAATAAAGCTCTCTTCATTCGAGACAAAGATTCCTTAATCAACTGTTACGCTGTAAAGTTGAATATAATAAAAGAACATTCGAAAAATTTCTATGATGATTGGCTGGATAAACTTAAACAATATATTTACTATAGAACTAAATATGTGGAATCCAATTATGTTGTTACTGGTGAAAAAATATCAGAAACTGTTTTAAAATCGTTCAAAGAGATGTATAAACTAAAATATAAATTCAATTGGACGGTTGAAGAGGTGATACTACGTTATACGATAAAGAAGGATTTTTTTTATGGCAAGCCGATGTTAGTACATGTGTGGTTGGATAGAAATATGAAGCCTGTGCCGCCTGGGACTTGGGACTATTTGACCGTAGAGTCCATGAAACCGGTGTACTATTGCCCTGCCTTTGGAATCAATGGTAGTGCCCCTATCGGTGAGTTTCCATCATGAATATCTTTGCTTCACTTCATTTTTTGCAGTAAACAAGAAAACCCGCCAGAAACATTTTTTTTATGCTACTAAGTCACGGGACGGGGTGGGTCAGTTGCAGTGTTGCTCAAAGGGCACTGCCACTGCGCCAGTTACCCTGAGACATAAGTTGAAAAGTCCCATATGCCTGTAATTTCACCAGTACTTTGACGATGGGACCTGTAAAGGGCCTGAAATGTCGATTTGTTTGAAAAAACAAATATACGCGATTTAAATTCGGAAAAATAGTTTCATTTCCTATTTCTTTATAATTATCATATATTACCACTGATCACAACTTGCAGCACTGACACAGCGCTTACAGTGACGCCATATTCTTTGACGGTTTCGATGTATAAAAATATATCCTCCTAAGACCCATTTTCCACTAAGCGACTAGTCGCGGGCGGCTGGCTGCATGCGGTTTCTATTTATACAGATAAGTCATATACCATACCCCTATGGACGCGACTCGGTTGTCGCGCGACTCAAGTCTTATATATTACTACATCGCAATCCCCACTGATCGACTGAACATTGTCTTCAGAAGATATATATATATATCATTATAGAACGAATAAATTAATAAATAATAATAATAATAACGCACACACTCAACATAGCCCCGCACAAATTGCACCTTTTGTAGTGCGTTCTCTTAACAAGCGATGTATCCAAAGTTTGTTTTCGTTTTCTTTTTGATAATAAGTAAAGACATGTTATTTCTTCGACGTCCATTTTGTAAATGAGCTGTTTGTAGCATACAGTCGCGCTCGACCAGTCGCGTAGGCAGTCGGTATTGAAACTCCCCGCCCGCGCCGCCGCCCGCCGTCGTCGTTAAGTGGAAAATGTTATCTCTATGAACACATAAATGCCCAGTGTACATTATAATTATAATATCTGATTCAAAAGAGTGTTCCGTTAGTAATAGTAAATTTAAAAAAATAAATTAGTAATGACACACACACTCAACATAGCCCCGCACTAGGGAAACCCTGTGTCGCGGGTGCCATGTGTGTACATATAGACAACCACAAATTACACCCAAACTCACGAGATAAATAAATGTAAGCCATACAAATATTTCTCCCGGCCCGGGAATCCAACCTGGGACCTCTGCGTGGCAGTCCGGCATGGTAACCGTTCGGCCACTGAGGCAGTTAACTAACAATATAAAAATAGAAAATTCAACCAGGCTATCAAGTACCAAGGAATCTGGGAATAAAGTACCAAGCTCCATACTAACTCGGTACCAGTCTTTTAGCGCTGTATTTTTATGACCATAGGGTATTTATAAAAATATGTTTTTCATACAAAACTGAAGACATACTTTTTTGGGCCTGAAGAATGTAATGATATTTAGTACACTTTAATCATCGAGTACCTGGTATAACCAGAAATAGAGACGAAACAAGGGTTATCCTAGGCAACTCATCGGGCAAATGGGCTTTACATCACTTTTAACAACTCTCGGCTTGCGCTGAAATCACAAATTAGAAAGCTGAAATAACACACCACCAACAGCACACACACATACAGCACCAACAACTGACCTTTGTGTACGTCACTGTATATTCCAAAAATATTCTGTATCTATTGTAATAAAGATAATATCTCTAACTATGGGGGGCTGTTCTATTCGGTGGTTCGGGAAAAACAACAAAACATTTAATTACAAATCAAACGGAATCACATTTCATCGGTAATGAAATATTAAACATGTAATTCTTCAATTTAAGTCCTTTATAGCAGAGTTTAAGTGAAACTGGTCGTATTGAAATGAAACTGAGGGCTGGCCAATCGGAACGCAGTTGTCACAGTAATGATATGGCAGAATAGTTTTCAAACGAATTAAATGACTTTTCGTGTTCAATTTTTGGTTATTTGCTCGATAACTTTAACGAACATTGGGCGTTTACGGCTTTTCCCATTGTACATAGTTTGCTGGGTCTGAGGGGGTTATGGAAAAATGTTTTCCTACCACTTTCATTTGTTCTTTACTATTGAAACGATGTAGGCTTGTGGCGATGTAAACGTACCCTTTCCAATTTCTCTGTATAGAGTCTAGTAACAACGGCAATAGGTAATGAGCCTCGAAAATCCAGACAAATATTTTGATTTGCATTAAGTAACTGTACTAAACACATTCATTTCGTTACTTCTCCAGGATCCTCGGTAGGGATTAACTGCAAGACGCGCACTTGCAGTGGCGATTTCAACGAAGGCGTCCAATGGCAAACATTGCCCTCTGAGGCCTGCTCCATTTCCACAGTGAGTGAGCTTCCACTACTCTACCGTGTCAAACCAAAACACTATAAATCAAAATCAAATCAAAAATCGAAATCAAAAAAATCTTTATTCCATAGGTAAGCATTATTACACTTGTAATCGTCACATTGGTTAAACTCTACCGCTCATTCGTACACTAGATTCCCCTGAGAAGAATGAGCAAGAAACTCTAGGGGTTGCTATTTGTAAATAACATTTGTACGCATTCAACATTTACAATATATTTTTTTTTGCTTTCAAACATCAGAGATCGAGACTACCTCCATAAGCTAAACGGGTTACTAGCCCGGATTTTTGTTATCCAAGTACGCAGAAGTTGTAAAATAACCTTTAGTATAAAGTTTTTGTTTCACTGTAGTTTTAAACCTTGAATGGCAAATTTTGTATATCAACCGGAATCTTGTTATAGAAGCGTATACACTGCCCTTAAATGAATTTGTCACTTTGTGAAGACGACTATCAAGAACAGCTACTTTATTTTTATTCCTCGTATTAATATTATGTCTGTCACTATTTTTTATAAAGAGGTTACTATAAATTACATTTTCATAGATGTACTGTGACGTTAGTGTAAGAATATTAATTTCCTTAAACTTATCTCTCAAAGATACTCTGGCGTCCAGATTGTAAATTGCCCTAACCGCACGTTTCTGCAGGGCAAAGATTCTATTGATACCTCAAAGCAAAATGCCGTATGTCGTTAGATTGTGAAAGTAGCTGAAGTAAACCAATCTCGCGGTGTCGAAGTCTGAAAGTTTCCGTGTTTTTTAATCGCGTACAATGCAGAGCTGAGCCGGTTTGATAACTTACTTAAATGTGGAACCCTATTGCAATTTAGCATCTAACGTTATACCTAGAAATATAACTGTATCTACAAGATTCAACTTTTCGTTTCTGATCACAATGTTTGTAACCGTCTCTCTAACATTGGGTGATGTAAATTTCACACAATTTTATTTCTCATTAAGGAGCAGGTTATTAACAGCAAACCAAGTACTTTAGATGTGGTATTGTTCTTATCGTCGTAGGAATATTGGTGCCTTTTAACTTTAAATAATAATGAAGTATCATCAGCAAACAATACTTTCTCATGTTTTAAGCCCTCCATGAGGCTAGGTAAGTCATTAATACAAACTAAAAACAAAAATGGACCTAGAATTAAACCTTGAGGGACACCCATGCTAATTGCAGACCCTGATGTTCTCGTACCGTTAACATCAACCCTCTGTACGCTACCACTCAAATACGATTTAAGAAGATCGAGGTCAGGTTCCGCCACACCGTAATGGCGAAGTTTCCTGACCAGAGTATCATTGTGCACACAATCAAAAGCCTTGGAAAAGTCACAGAATACACTAATAGCGTTATGTAAGTCTTCCCATGCATCAAATAAATGTTTCATCAACTCAACACCAGCATCGGTTGTAGAGCGACCCCGAGTGAAACCAAATCGTTTAGGAGACATTAAGTTATTACTATAAAAATGTGCACACATCTGAATTAGAATCATTTTTTCAAAGATTTTACTGAGTGTTGGTAGTATTGAAATAGGTCTGAAATTGGTGAAGTCTTTGTTGAATACTACCAGATTTGAAAAGTGGACTAACTACTTAGCTTGTAATATCAAAAACAGCATTTTGAAAACAAGCTGCGTAAAAAACTTTTCGATTTTTTGTAATTTTTGAGATTAATAACATAAAAAGTTTAACTTACGCTGTACATTAGATATTAAAGAAGTCTATCTAGTTTCTAGTCTATCATTACAATTTTACGTTGGAATGTAAGTTATTTCTATTGAAGAAAGAATAAATTTCTTTTCCCTCGTTAACAGCCGAAAGATTCTTGTTGTGATGAAATTACAAAACATTGTATTGAACCTTGCAGTTGTCACACCAAGACACGATAGATTGTCGTTTTTTATTATTAAAATTTAAGCCGCGACAAATGTTAGTAGATCGAAACTGACACTGGCCCAAGGAAATAATAATAATATAAGTAGACCCCTGCTTCTGAGACATTTGCGCGATCTGAGAGTTTTCGCTAACTCAGGCGCCCTGCAACACTGCACTGCATTTTGCGCGTTTAATTGTCAAAACAAAAGACTGTATTGCAGTGTACCGTGTTATGTCAAAATAATATCTAAATTTTAAAACTTACAGTGTATTTTAGTTTTTAATACTTTTATTGATTCAAAAACACTAATATCTCCAGAGTTGAATGTCAGGGTGTAGAGAAATCATATGAGCGATGTTAAATCAAAACAATGTAAGTGACTTTACAGTGTATTGGTTCGACATGGCAGTGCTGTACCTATTTCTTATAACAATCACATGTAGGTGTTGGTAGTGCTGTGCAAGCTGCTTTCCGAATGCATTATTACTGCTTTTGTGTAGTTTGAAATTTGTTTTTTTTATACGCGACAGACACACGAGTCCACTCCACCTGTTGTTAAACGGAAAGTGGAATGAAATAAAATGACTCTAATTGATATTTTTATTTAAAATTTTCGCCGATGTGGTTGGATTTATGTGTTCGTTTGGGTCTGTTCGCAATGCCCCCGTGGTGTAAGTATAGCCCCGATGTGGGTTAGGTACGATAAATGTAATTCAAAGGTATTTTTTAATAAAATGTACTGGTAGACAGAAAAATGCTTTTGCAAAGACAAAAACAGTTATTTGTTGTGCAAGGCTGCTGTTGTTTGACGCGAGTGTTTGTATTGAAACCTAAGCTAGCGAAGGAGAAGTTCACAAATAGAATCCTGAGCGTAGCGTATATATATATATATTTATATATATATATATATATATATATATGATATATGTAATGAATATATATATCCGTTTTAACAAAGTTATATAACTATTACAAACATGCAAAATTACCTATATAATTATTACGAAATTAGAGAACAAAAATTGATCCTACGTACTAACAATCGTTGAACGTGCAAAATGATCTTCTTTTTACTTAAAGTACCTAATATAATAACAGTTTTTGCTTAATTACAAGAAATGTACACACTTTTTTTCCAAATATTCAATAATTAGATTTTTTTTCATGTTCTTCAGTTATTAAATTCAGAAACATTTTTGTTGTTAATGCAAATAGATATCTGATAAAAAATGTTGTTCCAAAATGTATTAAAATCGGGGGCATACATCACGGGGACGTGACAAATCGAGGGCATACAGAACGGACCCGTTCATTCTGAATCCAGTGATGTGGTAAATATTTCTTCTACTCGTGTACATTATATAATTATTTCTTACTAAAAGATGTAAATTAATTTCTATATTATAATTTACTATCGAAAACACAGAAAACTCGGACAAAAGAAGAATCTGACTAGTGCCTTCAGCATACGGTGCCTAACGCTCTCCCATATGAGCTCTAAGAGCGTTCGCACTACGTTAGATTCCGAGAAATGATGATGACGTCCCGAAATATCACAGGGATAAGTCTTTAAATCCATCATCTGTAATAATATAATCCACCATCTATTTACGATAAATGTCGTGTGGTGTATTTTTTATTGCATTTCTCATTATAAGTAAATGTGCTCATTTCTATATTTTCCCACACAGTCCATATCATCCACTTCAACTGTGCCCACAATTACTCGTGAACCGGTAAGTTCCATCTATATAAGATAAATGTCGTGTGGTGTATTTTTATAGCGTTTCTCATAATAAGTAATTGTGCTCATTTCTGTTATTTTTATCACTCTCTTTCCTGTCTTTTTGCTCATTTCTATATTTTTCCATACAGCCCATATCATCCACTTCAATTGTGCCCACAATTATTCATGAACCGGTAAGTTCCATCTATATAATATAAATGCTGAATATAAACATTCCACTACTAGGTCTGGGTCTGTTCGAGCCAGAAGTTGTGGTGAAGTTGGAAAGTTTCTCGAAGTTTTGTGGTATTTTATATGTGTCCAGGTTCTTTCATGACGTTTTTTTAAATCAATTAAATTGTTCTCTATAAGAATCACCTTTAACAATAGAATTAAGAACCTAGTTATGTTTGCAAGGAAAATAGTCTCGCTACTGAGCTATTATCATAACTACAATATTACCGGTAGGCAACGTGAACGTGCTTTTCGATATTGTTTTAATTGGATATTACAGTATTATTTTGGATTTCATTCGTTGGGCATGAACGCAGTTTGTCTAATTGTTAAAACAATAAATGGGTATCAGTTTAGTTTTGAATATGAAAAGATAGAAATAAATAAATGAAAAATTAAACACGTAGCAGCAGAACATACAAATAAGTTGCAAATGAAAAATGTCATTCCAGGCGGACGAACAATTGCGGAGTGTAATTAAAGACCTGAAACAATTGAACAGTACTGATAAAGTGAGTGTCAGCGACATCGAGCCTGTTTTTGATAAGGTACCTAAAATCTTATTCAAGCTATAATTTAACGACATGCTCCGGCAAATATATATAATATCTCAAATGGAACCTTGTCTCTGTCTACTTGCATGTGTTTCTACGTGTGCGTGTATGCGCGAGCTCAAGCCTGTCTGTAGTTTATATCAATGTAAAAAAATTGCTTTGTGTTTGTCTCTTTAACCCCACTTTAAAGTGCCATGATTTGTTTTCAGGTGGATACTCTTCTAAACAAAACGGAAAAAATTAACTCTCAAGACAAAAATCAAGAACGAGACTTATTAATTCTTTTGGAACAGTTAGGGACTAAGATCGATTTAAACGGATCAAAACAGGTAATAATTTCAAGAAAACTAAAAAAGACTTAGGCCCTCCAATACCTATACTTTCAACAGTGTTAGGGCACACGCTAGAAACTAATTTCAAAGGGTCGCTGTTAACGAAATCGATAAGGACGACTATGTATTTGATAAAGAGAAAGAGACCGCGTTTGCCTTAGGCTCGGGCAAGCACTAACAAACATAATTGGATGCATTTACACGAATTAGCGAAAGAAGTTTCGCTACGGCAAAAAAAGTATTTGAAAACCTAAAATAAAGACCTGCAACAAATACAGTAATAACAGCATTTAGAGCTCCTTGTGAAAGAGTTTGAAAGGGTTGTAACCCTAACTAGCCGTGACCAGGTTCACGGCAATGAAACGGGAAAGTTCCGGTCCACAAAATGTATTAAAAGAAGTGAAGTAAAACGAAAGGTTACTCCTAAAAGGGCCGAGTAATTGAATTACAGATACGTAATCTTAGGTACATGAAAGCTGTATGTGCTAACTTATATACTGTAGGTACTAACTGGGTGATAAATCTGTCATAGATTTCTCATAGATGGCGCTACGACTAAAAAGTCGTTGAAAGACCAAGTACAAAGACACGACGCAAGCACATAGAAAAATTCGTGAGGTCCGTTGGTTCGTTCCGTGGCTTAGTTGGTATACCGTCTGACACGGTATGCAAGAAGACGTCGGTTCGAATCCGATCAGATGAAAGGAATTTTTTCTGAGTGTTCGATCTTTGTATTAATAATTCTAACAAACTAGTGGAGTAATTTCACAAAAAATAATTGAATATCAATTCAATAAAAATGTAATTAAAATAAGATTTATTAATGATACGTAGTACCACTATAGATAATATTACAAGTGGTACTATCATTTTTGGGCTTCAAAGTAGCAAAATAAGGTATTTTCTACGATTTTCGAGGTTTTGCGCGAGATAGTCACACGACCATGACGTACAATGCAAGAACGGTGGACCGAGCTCAAATTTGCCAAACGCGGCGAACTGTTGGGACACATGCCACGCAAACTGAGCACTTCTACTGTATACATTGTTCTATGAAAATAACTCTATGTTTAATCAAAAAATCTAAGGTCATTCACCATTTTGGTTGATAATGGGCCTATTTGAGAGTAACTACGAAAATAGTCCATTACGTGAATGAAGCATTGCTTTTCAGGCTAATGTAACTCTTTACAATAAATGTTTAAATTATTTACAGGGAGCAATAATAAGGAACAACATTGCGACCGTGTTGGCTGACTCTAATACTAAACAGCCTGTGAGGGGCTTTAGGATCGCGGCAGCGGCTCATGATGGCGCCTTCACAAATGACGATTTTGAGATTATATCAGGTAGGTGAAGTTTTATAAAGGTATACAGATTGGCTCGATTTTTTGAAGATTGTAACTTTCGCCTGTTACCGGTCAATAATATCGACGTTGAAATCGAAGAGATTAGATCAGAACAAGTGACGGGACGAACTAGTCGTGTGTCTGGTGGTAAGCTACATGCCTGTCCATAATGTGAGCATTATTGAGTTCCGGTTTTGAAGGATAAGTGCTGGCGCAATTGGATAGGCACATGGTGATGTGCACAGCGGCAGTTGCTTTTCAGATCTTTGTGATTTACAGCTCCCAGTGACATTGCAACTGTCATGGACAGGCGTGTCGCTTATGAAAAGGCGCACGTCTCGTCCGTGCCGTCACTTCGTATCATAAAATAATGTGAGTCCCTACACAATGACATAATATTGATTCACCAATGCAACAGCGTTTGTTATATTAACTTTTATAATGTAACAAAATTGTTATATGTTTTGTATACTTGTACAATAAGAGCTCTCATGCCAAAAAAGTTTTGACGTTGGCTCTGCCCAAATTTGTGAAACAAATATATGCCTGAAGTTCGCGTGTCATGCTACAGGAGATGTTGTCTTTTGCTCATTAAAAATGTTATAAGTACCAATTTCGTTTTAGCGGAATAACTCTAAAACTAAAGGGATTAAAAAAAATCAGTAGTGACAGTTGTCGATCATGCATAAATATAATTAATTATCTAATTTTTGTCCTAATAACCTGTAGCATTTCGAGGATAAATCGGAAAAATGTGAAAATTAGAGGTCATTTCGTGATTTTTATCTATCGAGGAAACTTTATTGTTTTATGTTTCAGATTAATGTCTATGCTTGAATATATCGTGTAGTTATTCATACAATATTTTATTTTTAACTTTAAAATGGATATACCCCTCAAAAATCAAATCGAAGATTAGGAATTTTTCCTCTGTTCCCTCATAAGTCCAATAATTAACTGTTTTTGGTTGAACACTATTTTCGAAAAGCAGCGATATGTTCAGATCACCAAAATTTATCAATTCACAGACCCAAAAACCACGTTTAACACGAAAGACGACGTGGTCAAGTTTCCGGAATCGGTGGTGAATCGGCAACAACGCATCAGTATCACTGTTTTCAGAAATGACGTGGCCTTTCAAGATACACCCCAGTTATCCATCAACAGCCTAATTCTGAGCGTCAAGGTGGGGAACATTACGAAGTTACCTGATGAAGAAGTAAGTATTATAATTTATACTTGTGCAGGAAAACGGCAGAGCATCTAAAGTTGTGCACGGCCTACATATAATTATAGAAAACTCAAAAGGTAGCATTTAGCATGTTTTATGCTATTTATGGGATACAAGCACAAGTCAAACACGGCGTGACTGGTACGTCGGGGGACAACAGATCATCAGGGTGCCCTAATCTTTTGACAGTTGTGATGATTTTAGCTTGGCAATTACGTACAAAAGTCGAAGCCTAATTCAAAGACAATTCTGCTCTATGCCATAAAGTACATATTATGGCCTCCTTGATGTACCACAACACCAATTTCATGTAATTCAGACAGACTGTGAAGTCTAGATTTAATTAATTGAACGTATGTACTTGTTACCTTTCAGGTAATAGAGATCCAATTCAGTCCCTTGCAAGAAAACCTTGAACGCACCCAACGTCCCGCTTGTGTTTATTGGCAATTCCTTGAAAACGATACGGGTTTCTGGTCTCAAGAAGGGTGCTACTTCATCAGATCTACAGAAAAAGGAATTCTGGACACTTGTAGATGTAATCATCTTACACATTTCGCTCGAGTATTAGTTTCAAGAGATCTTTTCTCTCAAAGGGATGAGGACGCGTTAGAACTATTATCCATAATAGGATGTTGTCTATCAATTTTCGGCATATTAATGATTGGAATAACTGCCGCGTTGTTTAGATCTTGGAGACAAGATTACAGTAATAAGATATGGTTGCAATTATGCATTGCGATTTTATTACTCGTCATATGTTTTCTGGTCATCGTGTTTGCCAAATTCGACGACTATAACATCCCTTGTATTTTGGTTGGAATGCTGTTACACTATTCTGTGCTGGCATCCTTCTGTTGGATGTTGGTAGCAGCTGTGTTGTCTTATCGGAGATTGGTTATAGTCTTTACGAGAGACGCCTCTCATAAGCTGCTTAGAGCTTCAGCTTTTTCATGGGGAGTCCCTTGCGTTATAGTTGGAATTCTTTTTCTAGTCGAACCTCACTCTTATGAGAGACATTTCGAAGAGAAGCATCCAAGTGGGACTTTCTGCTATCCTTCAGGACTCAGCCTTTGGTTGACCGTGTACGCCCCAGTTGCGCTAATACTACTTGCAAACTGGACACTATTCGTTCTAATAGTGCGTACTGTGTTTGCACCTAAAAGTATTCAGAGGCAATGTGATCCAAAAGAATCTGTCAGATGTGCTGCCGTTAGTTGTTTATTAGTATTCCTGTTTGGGTTACCTTGGGTATTTGGGTTATTTGCTCATAACATCGTTCCGGCTTACATTTTCGCATTGACAGTTACCTTCCAAGGTTTCATATTGTTCCTGTTCTTTGTCGTAGTGAATAAAAAGACGCGAGGTTTATGGTTGAACAAGTTGAAGATCAAACTGACTGGGAAGACGCCCGTTGTAACTTTAACTTATTCGGACAGAAGTACAAAGGACCAAATGAAGCCTCTAATTTTAAAATTAACTCCACTAAACATAAGTAATATGATTTTACCTAAAAAAATTAAGCCTAACTTTTTACAAGAAAAAATGGAAGCTGTTATTTTAGAACTAAAACAAAAATATTCAGCTTACAGATAATGAAATCTTTTATCTATTGAATAAGAAGACCCGAGATTCGTAGTGGAGCAAGTTAAATATCAAGCAGATTGAAAAGATGCAGTTTATGTATGGGACTGAAGTACAGAGTCCCACAACGGCCCTCGATCATTGAACTTAATTAAACAAAAAGTAGCAGTCTTTGGCTTGGCCCGGTAACTCGAGTCTCTTTTGACAAAGGTCGACTTTGTCCAAAGCAGGCTGTTATGATTCTTTGCAAATATCCCGTGTCTGCTTCTTAAAATTCTACATACTCACGCCCTACATATCTACATAGTTCCATAGGAGGGATAGGCAGAAACCACGGAATGCCACTTTACTCTATCCTGACACAACTCTCGAGCCTCACATACATCAACTACCCTGTTCATATAACTTCTTTTATTCTTGTCAGTTCTGATCGCAGCTTTTTTGAGAATATCACTGATCTTGTCAATGTAAGTCCTTCTGGGATGTCCTCTTAAAACCTTTACGTCCACATTCGCATCATAAATCTGTGTGGTATAGATAGACTATATTTGTAGTCTAACTGCAACATGTAGTGCGTATTGCTTGGTTAGCATTTAAGTTTACATTTTATTTTATATTGTATTATGTACTTACTTATATTCTGGAGACCGAACAATAAACATGTCTCTTTAAATTAATGTATTTCACTCTACTATCTACGTCCATCCTTTTTAATAATATGAGATGGCGTCCTATACCAGCGAATTTATCTTTTGTGAAAAACAACAAATTTGAACAACATAACAATGAAGATTTCAAGACAGAAAATTTAATATCAAGAAAGAAAAAAGAAGATCAATTTATAGAAGATCAAGAAGAAAAACTATAGAAGAAAAATAATTGAAGCAGAATTATATAGAAGAATAAATTATGGAAGAAAATAATAGAAGACAAATTATAGAAGACAAATCATGGAAGAAAAATTATAGAAGAAAAACTATGGAAGGGACATTACAGAAGATTATAATGAAAAAAAGAAGAGTTAACGTTATAGAAGACTTCAAGAAAGAAGAAAGAAGCGTAATCCCGGCCCCATGGAGTCCAGGGTACAGTCCGGCCCATGTAGCAGCGGTGTCCAGGGTATAGCCCGGCCCACCCATCAGTGATGCGGCATGCAGCATTACGACGAAGCGCATCGTGTCATCAACCACGGAGTCGGCGAGAACCACGTCAAGCGTCTTCACGTGTTCTACTTTCGTGCGGTACAACATACGCCTGGAGTGAATTATGTTATAATGTACGTTAGAATATTCTTTTATTATTTTGTAGGTATGTAGTAAGTATATAAAGTCGAGTTTATTTTTAAGTATGTCTGAACAATTAAAGGAGATTCATATTAAGTTGGATTATTTAAGAGAATTTTTGTGTAAAGTCGGTCCAGAGAGACGTAAAAAAGATATTGCTTATAAAGATACAGGTTACGAGGAGCACAGGCCGACGCTAGAAATAATTTATTAGATGGGAAAAGTTTGAAAAAGATAAATTACGATAAACATATAAATACTATAAAATATAAGAAAGATGATTTAATTTTGTTGAAAAAGCAAGTAGGAAGTAAATTAGATAACATTTATTTAGGACCATATATTGTTATTGAAATTGATATAATTGATAAATTGATATATAAAATATTGAAAGATGGCAAAGAATATATAACACATAAGAATAATACTAAATTGTTTGTAAATTAATTTGTAAACTTTTGTTGGACTGCTAAGTAATTATTAAGAATTTTTAGTAATTAAGATTTAAAAAAATGTGTTTTAACAAGTAACACGCAACACATTTTTTTCTTTGGAACCCCTATAGACTATATTTATAGTCTAACTGCAACATGTGGTGCGTATTACTTGGTTGGCATTTAAGTTTACATTTTATTTTATATTGTATTATTTACTTACTTATATTCTGGAGACCGAACAATAAACATGTCTCTTTAAATCACGTGTTTCACTCTACCATCTACATCCATCCTTTTTAATAATATGAGATGTGTTTGG